TGCATGCTGAAAAAACTTTGAAACCTCATTGGAGAGAAAGAAGTGTTCCTGCTACTGTGTTTTCAGATTTGTTTTTCCTGTCTCAAAATTGTTACAGCTTGTTTGAACTGCTGCATTACAGTGGCATACGTCTGTTTAGTGGTGACGCAATACTTGAGCTGCAGTCCTGCAAAATACAATTTATTCTGTCTCAACAGAGGAATCTTATTCTATTTTGCTAATCTCATCTTTCACCTCTCTACTGGAAATGAAGTCAAATCATGCGACTCATCTTTCATTTGGGTTAAATCTTACCTGCGAGGTTGGATCCAAGTGGTTGCATTCTGAAAAGCAGAACACTTCAAAAGGTTTGTGTTTCAAATATTTTAAGCATATATACAGCTATTTTGAGGGTAGACACAGGTCAAATAGCCGAAGCCAATTAAAGGGCCTCTTTCCCCTGGGTTGTCTGATAAGCGCCTTCCACCCAGCACCCCTTTGCAGAAGGCGGTGACACCTGATCGAGCCTTACAGGTGGAATTTTAAAGCTGCACTCTGTGTTGAAGACACAGCAGAGGATTGAGTCTCACAACCCACAAACTCACTGAAATTCATGATCAAATATGTTTTAGTTTGTAAAATATGTGTAATAGCAGTACAACATGGGTTGGCAACAGTATACTTTTTGTGGTCAGTTCAGTAAGTCTACATACAGCGTATTATGTTCTTTCTCTTTCTAGACTTGCCTTGCTTGTCAGGATGTTTCGGTTTGGGCCAGAGGAGTAACACAAAAAGAAGATGAAAGACTCAATACTTTGCTTCACTCACTGAGCACCATTGAAGTGCTGAAAATATGTGGGACTCAAAATGACCTATGGTCAAAACACTTCTCTGCTGCTGCCAACCCTACTTCTTAATTAGTCATGACAAATGAACAGTACATACACGTGTATATTTTGAATTGCACTAATAATAATGCAATTCATGTGAAACTGTGACATGGTAAAGCTTTGTATCGTGGTAGAAAAACACAATTATGGTAAGCTGGTAGTTATAACAGGTTGAAGAAATGTTAAAAACTGAATGATCATTCAAATAACCTGAAATAAGAAGAAATTATAATAATCTAAGCATAAATAACAAAAAAATTAAATAAAAAGCTGGCATTTATTAATTAGTTGTTTTAGAGTAGACCATTTTGTTTGTTTGTTGCTTCATGGGAAGGGTATCGACGATTTTGCCTTGGTGTGTGTATACATCATTCAAGGATGAAATAGGGTTTTATGGCTGAGGTCCAGATCAATGTTATGGCTCAGCTGTCTGTCCATGGAGATAACGGGATACACATTTAATCTACAACGATATTTTTTATCTTAACAAGACCTCAGACTGATTAATTGAGATCATGAGATCATTTAATTTGTTGAATTATTTGAAAACCCCTACCACCGCCACCACCACAACACACACACACACACACACACACACACACACACACACACACACACACACACACACACACGCATGTGCGCGTGTGCACAAATGTTTTTAAAGGAATCCTTGAAAGTGACTATTGGAGGCAGCAGTGAATTTTATTCCTCTTATCTTCATGAAGGCTGAACAATGTACCTAAATCATTAAATTTGTTTAATTACTTGTCCCTTTGCTTTGTACGAGCATTGTTTAACCTTCATAGTAGCAAACGAAGTTAAAACACACATCCGATACACTAGGTATCATAGTACAATACATGAAACATTTAAGTTATTTTGTATTATCCATCCATCCATTTTCTCATCCACTTATCCTCACAAGGGGTGCGGTGCGTGCTGGAGCCTATCCCAGCTGTCTTTGGTCAGTAGGTGGGGTACACCCTGAACTGGTTGCCAGCCAACCACAGGGCACGGGCACACATAGACGAACAACCATCCATGTTCACATTCGCACCTAGGGACAATTTAGAGCGTTCCATTAACCTGCCATGCATGTTTTTGGAATGTGGGCGGAAACCAGAGTACCCGGAGAAAACCCATACAGGCACGGAGAGTCCTTGGAAACTCCACACAGGAAGGTCGGAGCCGGAATCGAACCCTTGCACTTCTGTACTGTGAGGCCAACGCTCTAACCAGTTGAACACCGGCCCGCCTTACTTTGTATTACTGATTTGCACCTTCTCTCTTGACCAAAGTCAGCAAGGATAGACTTCAGCTCACCTGTAAACTTGAACAGGATAGATGGAATGCATGCTGAAAAAACTTTGAAACCTCATTGGAGAGAAAGAAGTGTTCCTGCTACTGTGTTTTCAGATTTGTTTTTCCTGTCTCAAAATTGTTACAGCTTGTTTGAACTGCTGCATTACAGTGGCATACGTCTGTTTAGTGGTGACGCAATACTTGAGCTGCAGTCCTGCAAAATACAATTTATTCTGTCTCAACAGAGGAATCTTATTCTATTTTGCTAATCTCATCTTTCACCTCTCTACTGGAAATGAAGTCAAATCATGCGACTCATCTTTCATTTGGGTTAAATCTTACCTGCGAGGTTGGATCCAAGTGGTTGCATTCTGAAAAGCAGAACACTTCAAAAGGTTTGTGTTTCAAATATTTTAAGCATATATACAGCTATTTTGAGGGTAGACACAGGTCAAATAGCCGAAGCCAATTAAAGGGCCTCTTTCCCCTGGGTTGTCTGATAAGCGCCTTCCACCCAGCACCCCTTTGCAGAAGGCGGTGACACCTGATCGAGCCTTACAGGTGGAATTTTAAAGCTGCACTCTGTGTTGAAGACACAGCAGAGGATTGAGTCTCACAACCCACAAACTCACTGAAATTCATGATCAAATATGTTTTAGTTTGTAAAATATGTGTAATAGCAGTACAACATGGGTTGGCAACAGTATACTTTTTGTGGTCAGTTCAGTAAGTCTACATACAGCGTATTATGTTCTTTCTCTTTCTAGACTTGCCTTGCTTGTCAGGATGTTTCGGTTTGGGCCAGAGGAGTAACACAAAAAGAAGATGAAAGACTCAATACTTTGCTTCACTCACTGAGCACCATTGAAGTGCTGAAAATATGTGGGACTCAAAATGACCTATGGTCAAAACACTTCTCTGCTGCTGCCAACCCTACTTCTTAATTAGTCATGACAAATGAACAGTACATACACGTGTATATTTTGAATTGCACTAATAATAATGCAATTCATGTGAAACTGTGACATGGTAAAGCTTTGTATCGTGGTAGAAAAACACAATTATGGTAAGCTGGTAGTTATAACAGGTTGAAGAAATGTTAAAAACTGAATGATCATTCAAATAACCTGAAATAAGAAGAAATTATAATAATCTAAGCATAAATAACAAAAAAATTAAATAAAAAGCTGGCATTTATTAATTAGTTGTTTTAGAGTAGACCATTTTGTTTGTTTGTTGCTTCATGGGAAGGGTATCGACGATTTTGCCTTGGTGTGTGTATACATCATTCAAGGATGAAATAGGGTTTTATGGCTGAGGTCCAGATCAATGTTATGGCTCAGCTGTCTGTCCATGGAGATAACGGGATACACATTTAATCTACAACGATATTTTTTATCTTAACAAGACCTCAGACTGATTAATTGAGATCATGAGATCATTTAATTTGTTGAATTATTTGAAAACCCCTACCACCGCCACCACCACAACACACACACACACACACCCACACACACACACACACACACACACAGAACAATGTACCTAAATCATTAAATTTGTTTAATTACTTGTCCCTTTGCTTTGTACGAGCATTGTTTAACCTTCATAGTAGCAAACGAAGTTAAAACACACATCCGATACACTAGGTATCATAGTACAATACATGAAACATTTAAGTTATTTTGTATTATCCATCCATCCATTTTCTCATCCACTTATCCTCACAAGGGGTGCGGTGCGTGCTGGAGCCTATCCCAGCTGTCTTTGGTCAGTAGGTGGGGTACACCCTGAACTGGTTGCCAGCCAACCACAGGGCACGGGCACACATAGACGAACAACCATCCATGTTCACATTCGCACCTAGGGACAATTTAGAGCGTTCCATTAACCTGCCATGCATGTTTTTGGAATGTGGGCGGAAACCAGAGTACCCGGAGAAAACCCATACAGGCACGGAGAGTCCTTGGAAACTCCACACAGGAAGGTCGGAGCCGGAATCGAACCCTTGCACTTCTGTACTGTGAGGCCAACGCTCTAACCAGTTGAACACCGGCCCGCCTTACTTTGTATTAGTATTTACTTTATCATTGAATTATTTCCTCTCTTACTATTCACATTTGTTTGCTCATTGCCTCTATTATTCAAGGCATTTTTGTTGGTCTTGTATCGATCCCCACTAGCAGATGTCCTCATGTGTAAAGATTGTACATTTTACAATGTACATTTTAAAGTGTTTCTCCCAACTAAACAGGCATGTCTGTTCGTTTTAGTGGCTGGCACAGTTAGGATGATTGAAAGATTTACAATGCATATTTACCCGAGAGATGATTTTATGCTACTGCCTGCTGAGAATGATGTGTACCGCCCAGAGGTCATTGTCTAAACTACTTGACTCATTTGCCTCGACAGAAAGAAGTACTTTTTTTCACTGTAATTTTAAAAAATAATGTAACCGCTCTATTATTGTTATTTCATGTCAAATTTTCTGCAAAGCGCTTTATTACAGCTGCAACTTTGTGAAAGCGCTATAAAAACAAATATGTATATTCGCCATCATAGCAACATAACTACGGCAAGGAAACAGAGGCATAACCGCCTTGTTTATTTATCTATTTATTTATGGGTGATTGATTATCATACAAACTACATTATTTACGGACATCATACATCATGCACTAACGAGGTGTAATTTATGCGTAAACCGGAAACAAGGCTGTTATGAGGGTCACGTGAGGCATTGTCGTATTCCTATTGGACAATTCATATTAAACTAGTTCCGGTTGGGTTGGCTAAATGCGCGTAGAAGTTAGTACCTAGACAATAAAAAGTGTTTTGTTATACAGTTATATTGATCCATTTTTAACAAAACTAACATGTGGTTTTCCCCGTGAACCTATTTGCGTTTTTATAGCACAACAAGAGGGATTTTTGTTTGGGGTGGGGGCTGTTTAAGTTTTTGGGATGACGTTTTTTTGCGGAAGGATCTGAATGCAGAAAGTGGTGTTGTTGTGGAGCGCAATTCGAAACTTGTTTTGTTTTATTTTAATGTAATATACGCGAGTGTTTTATTTTGTATTATTTTTCCAACTATTCGTTTGTATCATTTGTAGGTACATACTTTTTTATGATAGGCAGACCTGCCTTTTTTTGTAGACATATATTTGTAAGGTAAGTACTTGCTGTACATTCATCTTTCATCTAGAACTGCTTCAAACAGGAAAGCGTATGAGGGGAAAAATCGTTAGGATTGCGCGACTGTCCGTGTTTTATGTTATGTGTTGTGTTTATTATTTTACTTTATGTTAATCGTTTTGTGAAGCGCTTTGTTACAGCTGCAGCTGTTGTGAAAGTGCGATATAAATCAGGTGTACTGTATACAACTTATCGTCACTCGCGTCTCGAGATCCCCTTAGTTATCGGCAAAACAGTCATTTTTTTAATATTCGCATTTAGCAGGGAAAATTCCATCATGTAACTTATTGAAGACGCTCTGAGTAGCAAGCTTATCATTCTTTTGACCGCTTGTCTTCATTGTTAGCCCCCCTCAGAATAATTCATGTTCACCATGACTAATTGTGATCAACAGTTTTGAATTCGTGGTCGACCACAATCACAATAGGGTTTATGTTTTATGCAGATGGCCATCGTGGACAAGGAGACAGACGAGAGGAAAATGTTGTCTCCTTTGGAGGAGGATTCTGTGTCTGTTTCAAGAGAGCCTCTTGATTTTCATAAACTCACTCCTACTCAGTTTGGCATTACTGTCCAAAGTTTCAGCCCGGCACCATCAGGAAGCAAAGGTGAGATCACTGGTACAATATGTTTTAAGAAATCAAATTTGACCAATCATATCTCTGTCTCTTGCTCCAGAAAAGTCTCGTTTGGCACAATTAAAGGCAAGAAGAAGGTCTAGTGTTGGTGTGAGGGGCTCACCAGAAACAAACTCGCTCATCCGCTTCATTGCGCAACAAAAAATGAAGAATTCTTCAAACTGTCGAACTCCAGAGGTGAGAAGCAGTCACAACTAGGAAGTGTTTACTTTGTTGTCACAATTTCATGAAGTTTACAGGCTTTTGATCATCTTTATGTTTACTCCACAAATAGCACTAGGGATGAATAGTCACTCAGCATTCTGATTCTTTTGAGCATGTCAACATGCTTATTAATTGAGATGTGAATTCAGACGGTTGAAAACAAACTTTCTCAAGGTATGAAACTTTTTAATTTTGTCGCTGCAGCCAACTCATGAAGTCCTTTAGGTCTGTCTTGCTTCACAATGTGGACAGCGACAAAAACATTTTTGTTGAATTGTTTCATTGTAACATTCTACATGACTGTCATAATGCTTAATTGTCATGACGAACAAAGTGAAACTTTGGGAATACTAATATACATTCATTCAGACTTGTACTGGTTTACTACGGTTAATCTGTGAATCTCGAATGGCTATTTCAGACTATGTATGTTATATTTGTAGTTAGGTAATGACAGCATGGGTTTATTTCCAATGATATTCATCTCTTCTTCAACTGAAGATTGTATTATTCCTACCTATGCTGTAGTATACTTTATCACAAGCACTGTAGAGGTATGTGTAAATAAGGAAGGCAAACCATTGTGTTTCTTCATCTGTGCCAAAGAGGCTAATTTTCATTAAGATGAGAGAATCTGGGTATGTTTGCTTGTAATCGCTAAAAAAGCAATGTCAAGTAGGTACCTGTTTTGTCATTAATGTCGAAATGTTGAATTACAGCACTGAGTAGATTTGTTGTGTACGCCATCTGAATTCTTAGCAGCTTGTTGGAGGTAGCCCCTTCCTTCCTCGGGTAGCATCCACCCTGAAGCAGAAAATAGCTTCCTTCCATAGCCTGATGGGTGTGGAGGAAAGCGAGGTCTGTGAACTGATGCCAAGGCAGGGCGACAACACTGGAGGATACATGAAGACAAGAGATTATCTATCTGGTAAGTCATTGCTAGAGGATTAAAACTTTCATTTCACAACAATGGTCGTTTGCTCAGATGTCTACACGTCTGGAGCGCCGTGCAAAAACAGTGCAATACAATGGGAACTAGGAATAACTGACGGGTAGAAATATTTTTGGGGTCTTTTTTTAACATATTACCCTAATAATGCTTGGTGTTGACAAAAAGGTAAACCTCATGAAATTCAATTGCGAAATGAGCTAGCTGTGCTTTATTTATGACGGGAATGCGGTTGCCCGCAACACTGTGACCACCACATGGGCATGTCGGTTACCATACTGTTTGTAGCAGATTTAGTTGCTTCGTCTTTGAAGTCCATCGATTATCTGATCCGGGATACACTCTGAACTGGTTGCCAGCCAATCACTGCGCGCACATAGACAAACAACCATTCACACTCACAGTGACATTTTATTTCAATAAAGCTGCCTTGTATTGCCTTGCCGTACCTTGCGATGTAGTTAGCCTTTCAAATTGCTTGTGCTACAATTTGAAAAAATGATCAGCGCAGGAGTGAAAGCAAGTCTAACACTAATAACGCACTTCCGCTAGAGTTCGGACTTCACACGACACATGCACGCTCCTGACATCCCTTCGTTACACACATATTGAGCTCCCCATTCAAGTAACAACATATCCTACATATTATCATAAACTTTATAATTTTTATATTGTAATTATTCGTTCTAGTCTGGCCCCAAAATGTCTTTCTCCCCCCAGTGTCTCCGTAAGGTATTCACTCTCTGGTTTCTGTGTTGGCAGAAAAAACATTAACATTACTTGAGTTTTGTTGATTTAGCCAAAGTCATATTGTCATCGTAGTATTCAACAACATTATGCATATCACATTTTCCTAATACCATAAACATAAAGCTGTAGTTCAGATGCATTTTTAAATTGCTTCCCTTTCTCACCGCAAAACAATTTTGAAGTGGGTGGAATGCAGTAGCCCAAACACTAAACATACATTCACATTTTCCCGTAACCATTTTAGCTTGTGTGTGTGTGTGTGTGTGTGTGTGTGTGTGTCTGTCTGTCTGTCTGTCTGTCTGTCTGTCTGTCTGTCTGACTGTCTGACTGTCATTCATTCATTCATTCATTCATTCATTCATTCAAACATTTCCATTGGCTGCATCTTTCATTTCAGATGAATACAACCAAGAAGAAGGGAAAGAGAATCATCATCGCCTGGTGTCACCTTCACCAAGCAAGAAGCGTCGTGTGGGCCCCCTCAAAGGCTGTGAAGTGCAGATTAGAGAAGCAGACACTCCAGATGTTCACTTCAATGGGAGTGACAAGGAGGTATTATCACTCTGACCATTGACTTCCTCGAGTGCCGTCATGAAACTCGGGTTCTGCTTCTCTCAAGTCAATTAAAAAGAAAAATAAATTACAGCCATTTTTCTGCCCTGCTGATTGGAAGCTTTGAAAGTATTTTGTTGTCTTCACAGGGAGATAAGGAACCAGTGGCAGGATGCAATGACAGTGTCCAAAAAGGACCACTGCCGTCAAGTGACAGTGAAGAAGAAACCCAACTTGTGCTCCCATCTACGCCTCTTCATGGTTTTTGCGAGCCACCCACGTCCTTGGAACATTACGCCTTTTCTTCCAAAAACCAGCAACAGGTGTGAGATTCTGTTCTGCATCGACACATGTGCACATGTTTAAAGAATTAACAAAATTATGTGACTGACCTCTTAACAGTCGTAAACATCTGCAAAACATGTTGTGCTATGTTCAGACATTTTCACCTTTGGTTAACAAATCACAATGCAAAAAAAAAAAAAATCATACGTTTCACTAAACCAATAACCTTTCCATGCCCATACAGTTAGGGGGCAAATCAACTCAAGTAATTCTAATGTGGGGTTCTGTATGCTGCTGTGGTATATTTGTGGTAGAATGGCAATGTAACTTATTTTTTCTCAACAGGACAATGTGGTTGAACCGCAAAGCCCCAGCCGACCACGTCCCAGGAACCTTACATCAGCTTCAACAGAGTCTTTCTCTGCTTTCCAGTTCCCATTTCTCACCTCTCAAATGGAGATAAAATCAGCAGGTAAAAATACACTAGCTGTTTTTAGTCAGTCTTTCATTTTGGTTTACAAAATATTGACATTATAGGTGTCAAAATTAATGGATGAATTGATAATGAAACTAATTGACAGCTATTATGATAAGTGATTAATCCTTCATCATTTAACTATTTTCTGACTTGCTACAGACTAAACCAGAAACTGAATCATAAGCAATTGATGGGAAAAATAATAGTTGAATCAATTCAAAAAATGTGATTTGCAATCATAGTATGAATAAGATGTAATTTCCATCCAGTTTAACCTGAAGTAGCCTCAAAAGCGGATATTAAACTAGCAGCCCATCAATCAGTTGCAATATGTTGCTCTCATTTTCAAAAAGGTTGGTGAGTGCAACACATCACCCCATCTCATGTAATTGTGCTTAATTTAGTTTTAACTATACAAAATAAAAAAAAATAATCAGGAAAAAAAAGATTTTTGCAGTACAGTTTAATGCAAAATAAAATTGCATCCGATATTAATTAATTCCAAAAATATTCGATAGTGACAGCCGTGTATTAGATGTATCATACTTTGTAAAATCCCCCCAAAAAGAATGGCTTTTACTCCAGTCACGGAATTGTCCTTACAAAAGGAGTGCACAGCTGATAACCCTTCTCGAATGCCTTCAGTTTTCATCATTCTTGTGCATACAGAAGAAAACGAGTCCTCTGAGGCATCTGCAGCCAAGAAAAAGAAGCGGGTGTGTTTTGGATGCCCTCTTTCCCCTGAGTTCTTTGATCAGCAGCTGCCTCCCAGCACCCCATTGCAGAAGGGGGGAACACCAGCTCGGCCCTCCACACCAGGTGGGATCTTAAAGCTGAAATCAGCATTGAAGACACCGCAGAGAAAAGAAACGTGTACCCCGCAAGCCCAGGCAGATCTCGGCCATGTATTTGGTGGCTCCCCGGTTCTTGCAATGTCTTACAACCACCGAATGCTACATATGGCCGAAGATGGAGTGGAGAAGTTTGAAAAGGTATGCTCCCTGTATTTTATTTATTTTATTAAACACAGTGTTTGAAAATTGCTCAGATTATGATGTGAGAATCACCCAATTTTTCTGACCTTGTTAATTTCTTTATTCAACAAATTAGTGAAGCAAAACTGCCCCAAACTATTTTTCCATTAATAGGTACAATAAAAAGCCCTCCATCGTGGTTTCTGGGTTTGCGGGCCCGTGGCTCAATACTAACTTTTGCACTGGTAGCGCTGGTGCTGCCAACTTTTTCAGTTGGTCACGCTGCACAGGATGTGGTCTTACCCTATTTGACGGAAGGACAGAATGACCATATTTGTTGATGTATAGTCATCTCAATTGGCACACCGTCGTTTCATACGACGTAAAGATTGACAGTGACTCAAAGTATGATATTTGCAAAACATTTTACGGTAGCGGAACTATTTACAACAACACGTACATTTTATATACAGTAACTTCAAAAGAAGACTTTAAAAAAGGCTTCTTTGTTTGTTTGGTTTTTTTTTTTTTTTTTTTTTTTTTTTTTTTTGCATTTTGTTCAACACAGAGGGGGCCAACTTTTATACTTTTAAGACTTATAGTGAGGCCTCCAAACATTCTTCCTTTTCGGAATAGCAAATCTTCACAGCCTGCCTAGCATCAGAATCAATCAAGTCTGGCCCCTCAACACTGTTTCGGATTAGGTCTTCCAAAGCGGCGTTTCCCTACCAGGATTATATGAGCACATTGCAGTGGCTGTGTAGAAACCCGTTACAGCTCAAATGACTGATGAGAAAATATTTTTTTTTCCTGATAAAGTTTAATGCCCGTTCAAATGGGACTAATTTAAAGACAGTCCATTTTTTGTGGTAAATCTTATAGAATGATATATAACAAAGGCAAATCCTTTGGATTTATATTTTGTTTTAATTTATATTGCTTCTACAAAATATTTTTGTTGATGTGTTGAAAAAGCTATCTTTAAATGTTCAAATTAAGGAAACAAAAAAAAATAGATTTTCATTTAATCATCAATTGAAAAAGAAAAAAGAGAGCAAGGTGTATCTGAGCTTTTAATTTTACATGATCAGTTGTGACTGGAATGTGAGTGTTGGGTCGATCACCTCTGTCACTGCTGGCAGTACCTGCGGCAGATTTCCTATGTCTCATAGCCTCCTGAACGGTGAGATGAGCTTTTGGACTGTGGGACAAAATGATGTCAGAACCACAGTGCGCTTGCCTGCTAAAACAGCACATTTGAGTACCGGTAATTCTGGTTTGTTCAAAATGGATTAGTAGCAGCTAGTGTATAAAACCAACATCTTCACTTGCGTGCCCGCGACCCTCATGAGGATAAGCGGCTCAGATAATGCATGGATGGACGGAACTATCTGACACTTTTATTGTATTTATAATATCAGCGTTAACAGTATCACGGGATACATAAATTATTGCCAATAAAAACTGCAATTGTCAGGGTGTAAATCAAATGTTCGTTTATGCCATCTATAGCATTGACATCATGTGTCATGAAATATATCTATCTACAAATTCCGGTAGTGTTGCGGGTTACAAAGCTTTGTTCACGTGCCGTTATTTTTACCTTTCTTTTTCCCAAAATGTAAAGGTTGCACAATGTGTGTTTTTAATTCTTTATTGCCATTGCACAGTGAAATATAAATTCAGCTATTCATGATGATGACATTACGAGAGGCCAAGCCCAAAGTATAATACATGCCTCAGTAGAAAATGATTTATTGTTTGATTGAAAAATGATTCTGTGCTTTTAATATTTCTGCGTCTAGATCATTTTTCCTTCAATCGAAGACAGTGACTCTGCAGTTATGACTGATACAGGTTGGATTTAGCATTTTATTGACCATTATAGTGTGAATCCAGCAGGATGCATTACTTGATTTTTCTTTTTTTATGCATGTATTTATTTTTGCAGAATTAATTAATGATGCCCAGCTGAATTTAAATGATGCTTTTCATGATGAGGCTCCTTCTCCAGTGGTAACAGCAGGTAAAACCTCATATTTACCTTTTTGTAGATGCAATGTTGTGAGAATGTATTAAGACCCCTAAAAATATTCACATTTTTGAGGATTAGGGTTAAATTATTTACTTATAAAAGCATTTTTCCTCTGGATTCCATGCTACATAATGACGGTACAAAAGGAGCATACCCTTTGCTGTGAAACATTAAATTGACCGGATTCAGACACAGAATTGGCAGAGACTCAAACATTTGAACAAGCAGAACTCAACCTCAAGAAGAGATGGGCAGCTAGTTGCTGGGACCACACTTTGACTGACGCCTTGATTGATTATACCGCCCTCGTCTTTTGTGTGTGTGCGTGTCCGAAAGTAATCTAAAATGCATTCAAACTTTTACAGGTGAATTTAATGTGACCTTCTCTCAGCTTTTGAATGTACATGTCCAACTTTTAAATTTTTCAGTACTTTTTGCATAAGTTGCTGTTTTCTAATGAGAAGCTTAATAGCAAAAATCACAACAGGCGTTTAATCTTTGAATCGACCAAGAAATGTCTTGGTTCAATTAGAGCTGGTGTTTATCCATCCTCATCATGTTGTTCACATTTTGACATCATGGAACCAGCGACACAAAATGTCTTCTTGCTGTCATTGCCCATCCTCCTGGACAGAGAAGGAAATAATGTGCTAAAAGATTAACGTAGCAGAAAGATCTCACAATTCAGCCAAATTTCAGAATTTTAAAAAATCCACTAAACTGTAATATCTGTAAAAGTTCATTCCATCCAAGCATTGTACTACTTAAAATGAATGTAGGAACATAGAAAATCTCAGTTATATATGCCCAATTGTGATTTATTAATAGTTAAGCAACTGAATTTCTTTATTTTTTCCCCCCTTAGAAGTGAAGTCTGAGAAAAGTCCAGCCCACCAGTCGAGTGCCCTTAATGCGCTTGAATCTTTGTCAGTAGAGAAACAACCTGAGACAGTCAGTACTGCTGCACCGAGATTGAGGAACCTGGAAAAAAAGGTTGTCTGCCCGATCTTATTTGCTTAGATATGTTGCTGTCATTTTACAGTGAAACCTCAAATGTTGAATGTGATTCTTATTTTTTTTTCAATTTTCATTAAATACATACCTCCAAACCAGTTCAAAAGCATCATGAGTAATTTTAGCAAACTTCATAAAACGCAATATACATCTAAAGAATTGACTTATTTTAACGTTTGCCTTTGACATGGATTTTTGTAATGTAATTACAGAGGAGGTCAATGAATGGAGCACAGTGAAATATGTGATGAAGACATTGGTGCTAAAATTGGAATTAAATGCATGTTACATGGGTCTTCATATCAATAATTAAATGGTCAATCACGAAAATGGTGCAGTCGTTCGACAAGACGTTTCTCTTTATCGGTGATGTTTTACTGAACCCTGTCGATTTATTCTTGACAATTCAACACCAAACAAAAGTCAACACTGGACGCAGTGGCTTCACTTTTAAGAAAAACAATTCAAATAAAACCTGCACCATTGTGGTAAAATGGTGACATAAAAAAATGTAATTTGGTGTGGGGTGCCCCGAGGGTCAATTTTAGGTCCCATTCTTTTTCATCTATATATGCTTCACCTTGGAAAATGAGGATGTCATCAGGAGGTACGGCAATCTAAACAACAGCAATAAAAAGAATGCTTCAGTACCTCCATGTTAGCCTGGGAGAGAAACAGGTGGACTCTGGCTCTTACCTTAAGATGGTAAAATCCTATCATAGTTTCATGCTTGATGCGTGCAATAAAATTAAGATCAGTCAAAAATTATGCCCAGATGCTTTATATAGAGTATTGTGAGGGTTTAAATCTTGTAGTTTTCGTAACAGTTTCTCTTTGTTGCCTTCAGGACCAACAACTAAAATCTCTTCTGGCCTTGTTCAGCCATTGGACATTCACTACCACCCTTGACTTAATATCTGCAGTACAGTTAAGAAGTGTATCAACTGGCCCTTTGTCATTAGGAGACACGGTGACGTAGAGCAGTATTTGTTTCCTTAGTTGCGCAGATGACACAGTTTGTTGGGTAGTTTAATCTTACTTTCCTGAATTTAACTTGTCCTAAAACTACACATGATAGCTAAGAATATTAAATGTTAATTTTGAAAATTGCCTTTTCAATTCGTCACGGTTTCAATATAGCCACAGTAAAAGCCTGGGGAAAATGAATGTATGTAATGGGAAAAGAAGTGTCGATTAAACAAATAATAAAAACAACATAATCAATTTAACAACCTCGGAAGTCAACGAGCAACACAAAATGGAGTCTGTTCAACTTAGGAGGTTCCATTGTCGGCTAATTCTTTCTTAGGTTTTTTTTTTGTTTGTTTCAGTTTGGTTTTCTGACCACAAAATGAATGTCTCCCATTGCAGGCAGTGGCTGAATCTCAATCTGCTCCTGAATTTCCAGCTGTGCGTAGTCGGAAGAGAAAGGTATTACGACTGCTGATCTCACCATTTAGCAAGCGTGATTTCCTTTTTATCAGCTTTATCTAACAGCTGCCAACGGATCTACTGTTGAGTTCCATTGAATATGAAAGTAATCTCATTTCAGCGTATCCACCTAATGTGCGTGTGTTCGAGAGATGGTCCGTATCGTGTTCATCATCTTTCTGCCAATTTTCTCTTCCCTTTAGCAACCTGAGCAGAGCAAACCTGTGAGGAGGTCGACACGCTCTGCTGCCAAGCCTTCTGAGACGATTAAAGTGAGTTTACTGAGGCTCGTGTTGCACAGATACTGGTCAGAAAAGGGAATGTCTTTTTTTTTTTTTTTTTTTAAATCCATGCTTTTATTATACACATTTTGAGGGAAGTTTCATGCAACAAAATGTGTGTTTTTCAAGTAACTAAAGGCGTGTTTACACTGCAGTCGTGGTCTTATTGGAAAGATAACACTGACTATGTTTACACGCAGTCAACAACCTGTTTAAAAGACCAATATTGCTAGTATTCAGACTTTTAAAGGCCATGTAAATGTGCGCAAAAACCAGAATATGCTCTTATTCGGGGTTTTAAAAACTTGAATAATTCACACTTTCGGAGCACGGAGGAAGCTGACTGCTTTATTCCTGTGCTGAGTGACAGGAATATAAGGTGTTTTAGTGACGGTAGAAAATAACAGTCAAAAATGATGTCTATTTGCGCCATGACATCCATACGTCACTGTTTGAATCCGGTTATTCAAATACAGGAGTAAATATGCCTGCTCACGCATGCAAACAGGTTATTTTGAGTGTTTCAGAAATCAGAATTTTGACCTGAACCCGAATATTGACTAAACATAGTCACTGAGGCCTTAAATGACAACATGCTAGGACTGTCACAAACAAATCTTTGTAGAAATGATTATCGTAGAGATTATTCCATCGATTACTCCCTCAAGCGCTCATGACGTTTTAGTGGAAGACATTTGGCCCCCATAAGGTAGTGATGGATCGCACCGTGATGAAGATTAAATTTATTCTGTGTTAATTCAATTCAAGACACCAATTTAAAGCTGTGTTACTATTACCTCTTACCGTGCCAACGTCACACGGGTCACTCTACCGTGTTAAGTCTCCATGGTCTGCCAGCTCCACTTTGGAGTCATATATATAAAAACATGTTTTCTCAATTTTCTGTCTAAAGCGAAGCATTTTCAGATTCTTCGTCTACATAAGAATATGCTGCCGGAAGACTACATAAATCAGCAACAAATGACCGTGCAGAAATGCAAAAAATTGTTTACGGGTGCTGCAAAAACACTCTAGATTAAAAACAGTTTGTTGGGTGCTGCAAAAACACTCTAGATTAAAAACAGTTTTCAAGACATGCACTTTTTGTGGTTGACCTAATAAAGTATATCGCAAAATAAATTTGGGATATTTACCAATGCAGTAATTTTATATTCTCGAGACCGTCAAACAGTTGGGCGTGCAAGGTCAGCACCCAGTGATGTGTGATGTACGTTTTCAATGATACACTACACTTTGATTAGTACATTGTAAATAATAGAATGACCCCCTGGGAACCACTGTTTGTTTGTTTTGTTTGTTTTTCTTGAACCGGATTTGGATTTTTGAACAGTCTGACTTTTAGTGGAATTAGATTCATCCAGCACCTTCTGTCTTCGCAGGTGGCCAATCGGTGGAAAAAGGAAGTCAACCTTTCTCTTTATGGCTCTCGAGAATACGCATCCAAGAATCCCAGCCTCAGTCCCATCACAGAGTTTTTCATCCACCAGCCAGCAGCAGCACAATGCAGTCCCACTGGCTCTGCAGGTAAAAGTTGTACGCATTCCTTGTATCATGATTGCGACGCAGTGTATGTTTATCATGACGTGAAAAACCTTTTAGACGAACAGCCTGAATCATTTTCTTCAAGCATTTTCTTCTTTTAAAACTGTTCTCAGGTATAAAACGGTTAAAGATGCCTCTTAAAAATACGAACAGCATTATTTTTTTTAATCTGAAGTATTAAATTACGTAAATTTAAATTCCTTATAATTTAAACTATGGATGTATGATTATACAAATTCAAAAGTAATTTTAACAATTGCTGTGCAATGTGGATATAATTTTATATCTATATCAACTTTTATGTCTTGATATTTTACTTTAAATTTAAAATTAAGTGATTGGCAATTATTTTTTCACTTGTCTCTATTTATTTATAAAACACATTTTATGTCAAAAATACAAACAAAAAAAATCAATATCCAGGCGAAAAAGTATACTGCAGTCCACGCAATTTTCAAGAATGTAAACTGCTGCGTACGCTGTAACGAAAAATAATGTCATGTCGGCCCTTGAGCAGGTCATTGCCGCAACCCATTCTCCAGGCATGACAAATCGAATCACTCCCAATCCAACTGTTAAACTAACGCAGTGCTTCTCAATTATTTTCTGTCCTGCCCCCACACCCTAGAAAGAAGAAAACATCTCGGGCGCGACTATAAATAGTGTAATTTGTCTATAAAATTGTTACAAGTACACCTCTGCACAATACTGTATCCTTGTTAACGTATAAGAGAATAAAAAAAGAAAGAAATATGGACCGTTTCATGCTGATTGATTAGCATGATCTCTCGACAAGTGGCATGCCGCTTAATCGGACTAATGGTAGCATTAATATATAAAATAGCTGACACAACAGATCCTAGGTCAGTCGGGAGTGCTGCAAAAACCACAGCTTTGGCACTCGTACAACTGCTTTGTCTGAGATCACTATTTTGATCAGAGAACAATTAATCGATCAGCCCTAATACAAAGTCCAAACCTTTACAGGTGAGTTGCTGCTGGCAAAACAAACACAAAAAAAAAAAAAAGTGACAACACTACTGACTTTTTATGTGTTATTTAATCCTGTAGAGACTTTCTTCCATTTGTCAAGGAGTGTCGTTTGTGTGTGGTGCATAACATCGCCAAACAAAGAGATCCCACTCAAATGTTGATAATTTAGCGGAACTTTTTAGTGTGTATTGGTTAACAACTTTTTGTATTGCAAAATTAACAAATACATGTTTCATAATACGCCCGATTTTAACATTTTGTTAATGGAAATTTGTATTAGCAGAAATAGTGAATTTCCTGTTGTGCTGTTGATTTCTCTCAATAATCCCAGATGAAAGTGCATACCTGAAGAATGAACCCAGTGAATCATCAAGCAGTGGCCCTGGGACTTCAGTTCTTCCTGGTGAAAGTCCATCAGGAGCTCCATTGTCCTCTGGCAAAAGAACATTGGTCACAAACGGTTGCTCATCGAGGCCCAAGGCTACAAGGCGGAGATTATCCAAGGCCCGTGTTTCAATAGACAACCCGCTACATGTGGAGCCTCAGATGCAGACCAAGGAGAAGACAAGCGAGATTCATGAAGAAAAGATCACTCCAATCACCGCTGTGTCACTAGAAGTCCAAACAGAACAAGTGTCAGTTGGCGCTGAAGTACTTTGCACCCTAACAGTTGCTGACACACCCAGCACAGACACAGACACAAATTCAGAATGTCTTCTGGGTGTTGATGGCTCCACCTCAGCCTGCCTGTTAGAAGGAGAACAAAGCAGTGCAGTGACCTTGACAGCCTCGTCCCCCGGGACAACCCAGCAGCCCCAAAACGTGTCCAGTTGCCCGAGGCGCTCCGTGAACCTGGCGGAGGAACAACCTCAACCGGAAGCAGAAACACAGCAGGAAAGAAAGAGTGACTCACCGAATGAAACTCCTGGAGAGGAGACACAAGTCGACAGTGGCCTGGCTTCCTGGCAAGCCAACTTTAATTTTGAGGATGTCTTCAAACGTGTCCCCAGCAGGAGGCAGCGCTCAGTGCGCCGCAGCCTAAGGAACCAAAGCACCACAAATGACGACACTGGTCTGGCCTGGATGCCTCGGATCTCCCCTGAAATACTAAAAAGAACCAGCAGGAAGACCCGGCGTCGCAGATTTGATTCTACTGTTCTACCCACCAGCCCTGTTTGAGGACACATAGCATGCCACATGTTGGTACCTGGACAATTTTTTGCTTTTCACTCAAATATTCCTTACTTGTTCCCCCCACCGCCCCTTCTGAATTAAATTGGGTATTTTGCGAGCTTGTTGTTTTATGGGATGAAAGTGCTAATAATTTTTTCCTTAACCAATGATTTGCATCTTTCCGCTATGTAAGACACCCGATACACACACAGATCCCAATCATTTATGCTGACCTCCTCTGAATCAATATCCAACCACACATTCAGCCCCTTACTCTCCCAAGTCACAAGATCGAGCCTCAATCAGTCAATATTTTCTCTTAGTGGATAGATGAAGATGGCCTTGGTGCAGAACTAATCTGTCAGACTAGGTTAGAGGCTACTGGATTCCTGTAAAAGAAATGGAGCGAAGGGCTAAATAGTAGTGCAGAAAACAAATGAGCCCTTGAGTCATTCCGTGCCGTTTGGTCAACTTGGAGCCCTGGTGGAGACTCAGAAGAAAAGAGGAATAAACGTGGGGCCCTAGCACTCTGCCTCATGGCTGTTTTCAAGCCGGGCGCAAGTCTAGTGCAAAGCATAATCTAACTGTGTGCATGGATGGAGTTCTCTTATGTTTGGTATCTTGCTAGACTTTGTGCAGGTAAAATTGATCGTGCGCCATTGTAAGATGGAAGCACTGTAGTATTTTCCTGACCGATCTTCGTAGCATCCTTCATTTGCATGAAATTCCAGGCGGTTGGAGTAGTGCCTGACTCAACCACTCAAGTTGGCGATCGAACCAGATCTGCCGGCTTTGGGGTGCAGAGCATTAACTGCTGAGCTAAAAGCCTCGGCCACCAGCTGGCCATGTTGTTTTATATCTCTACAATGGAAGATACAACTCTGGCATCAAACACCCAATTCATATTCACCGATCAACATGCACCTAATACATTTATGTCAATTGAGGGGAGGGGTCCTGACGCTGTGGATGCCCCGGCCACCACCCCGTTGTGCCAGGCAGTTAAAGCGCGTCTACTTCTGTAACAAGCTTGCCAATCACTGACGTGAGAAGTCGGTGGCTCCTATTATCAATGGCATCAAGCTTCGTTGCGCTCAGCGTAGATGGAAGCCTTCGATCACCGCAAAGGGTTTCGGTTGGAGCAGTGCCTGATTCAACCACTCAAGTTGGCACTCGAACCAGATCTGCCGGTTTTGGGGTGCAGAGCATTAACTGCTGAGCTAAAAGTCTAGGCCACCAGCTGGTCATACTGTTTTATATCTCTACAATGGAAGATACAACTCTGGCATCAAACACCCAATTCATATTCACCGATCAACATGCACCTAATACATTTATGTCAATTGAGGGGAGGGGTCCTGACGCTGTGGATGCCCCGGCCACCACCCCGTTGTGCCAGGCAGTTAAAGCGCGTCTACTTCTGTAACAAGCTTGCCGATCACTGACGTGAGAAGTTGGTGGCTCCTATTATCAATGGCATCAAGCTTCGTTACACTCAGCGTAGATGAAAGCCTTCGATCACCGCAAAGGGTTTCACATTGGGCGGTGGTTGCTTTTTGGTCCTGTACCAGACGTTTGCGTTTGATCAATGTTGTTTCTTAACAATCAGCTTTGTATTTCTTTGTTCATTTTATTTCCAACTCAACAGTCCACATAAAAATCTTTTCTCAACATTCCTCGTGACTTCACTCCTACAGCTGTCCATCGTGCATGTCATTACGTGGGCGCCACCCAGTGTTCAGATGGAGACACCACAGTTGAATTAAACAGTGGCAAACCTTAAAACTGATAAAAATGATAGCAATCCCTAATCCTAAATGTTACTCGAAAGTGTGTTGTATGCAAAATCATTTCTTGAAAATAAGTTGTACAACCACCTAGTTTGATTGGGACTTTTTGTGGCCCACGAGATATTTGTTGAATTGTATTTCATTTAAAAAAAATCATTTAGTTATGTGTTCTACAGAGGTGAAAATTAATCTTCCATAAGAATACATATTTTTATTATACGTAATGTAATTAATAATTTATTAATTTTGAGTATTGTTTTGAATCAGGGACAGTGATGGTTCTGGCAGGGCCACCACAAGTCATTGTCAGACCATCTGAAACCTTCTGAAACATTGATTTATTTTTCGCATGCAACACTTTGTTTTTTTCTTTTGTAACCCCCGCACCCCCAATTTTGCTGCTTTAGACTGCAAATTTCCCCAGTGTGGGACAAATAAAGGTTATCTTATCTTATCACCCAAAAAGGCTTAGAGGACAGCCTGCAATATGCATGGTTGACGAGCTTTTATTTGTACTTGGCACTCACCCAGACGCCCAACCAACAAACATCCATATCGTGTTCATAATTGTCGCAGTTTAAAATTCACCATCTAAAAAAAGGCAATATTACAAAAGAAACTGTTTTTAAAAGTATTTTAACACAACAATTAGGTCGGAATGAGCCTTCTGAGAAGTGATTCTCTTTGGTGTTTGAGTTTAACTTTTGCAAATGAAACAGTTGGAATAAACACTTATCATCTGCAAAATGATTGAGATGCAACTGGAAGGAGTTCCACATGTGAACTGTGGTCACACACGCAAAAGTAAATGCCCGTTTTGATCTATTGAATGGAGTTATATGAAAATAAATGGACCTCTCCCAGATTCAAAGCAGATCTCCAACAGCAGAGTAGAAACAACAGTGGAGAAACAACTTTCACGTTCAGCCTACACGGGACAATTGGCTTCGAGATAAATGTCCAAGTGTGATGTATCCATCACAGTGTAATTGACTCTCCACTTTAACATCAATCCTGAGTCACTTGGCTGAAGGACACCAAGGTCCCCTTTTGTGGTTGAATGCCAAGCAAGGCCTTGGCCATCTGCTTGTCGAATGGGGCTCTCGTCTTCTGGAATCACACAGCGGGACTTTAGTGCCCTCGAGTGGTCGTCTTGAGGTACTGCTTGTCATCGAGCATGCCCAAATGAAAGACACCAGCAGGAAGCCAGCCGGGAGAATAAGGTATTTACAACGTCATCATTTGGATGAGTCGCTTTGTCAGATGGTATTAAAAGAAGAAAAAGACGAGCATTTTGTTTATGTTTTTATAACATGTTGTGCCCACTTTTGTTAAGGGAGTCAAACTTGGCATGACAGCGAACAGGCTGCTTTCCTGTTAGTGTGCAGGCAGAATGGTGCCCTCTATAGAGGCTCTTGTTTTTGGAAGTGTGAGTGAGGGGTGTGAGCCTGAAGCCACCGTCCTTGGCAGACGGACAAAGTGAAGACGGCTTAGCACAAGAACAATAAGGTTCTTTGAGTAAGACGACGCCCCCAAGACATGTGGCCTCCTGTCACCGTGGCAACCCCCCATGGGACATGGAGAGGGTCTGACAGCTGGAGACAAGGGCTTGCAAAAATTCAGTTCCTTTCTTCCTACTGCTTCCTATCCATGGTCTTGTGCATGGGTGAAGGTCCTGACTCTTTCCTAGAGTTTTGTGGCTTCCACACACTGCCTCAAACTCATCTTGCATTCCCATTATGTGCTTGGGTACAGATACTTGTGTAAAACAAGAATGTAACTCCATATGTGAAGACTAGGGCGGCACCCTCACAGTACAGGGGTGCAGGGTAAGATTCCGCCTCTGAGCCTGCCTGTGTGGAGTTTGCATGTTCTCCCCGTGCCTGCGTGGGTTTTCTCCGGGGACTCCGGTTTTCTCCCACATAATAAAAACATGCATGGCAGGCTGATTGAACACTCAAAATTGCCCCTAGGTGTGAGTGTGAGTGTGGATGGTAGTTTGTCTCTGTGCCCTGCGATTCGCTGGCAACCAGTTCAGGGTGAATATCGGCGACTGCCCAAAGTCAGCTGGGATAGGCTCCAGCACGCACCGCGACCCTTGTAAGGATAAGTGGTTCAGAATGTGGATGGATGTAAAGACTACAGTAGCACGGTGGTCGACTGGTAAGCATGTCCACCTCACAGTGCAAAGTTTAATTCCAGGCCCCAGCTTTGATGTGCAGAGTTTGCATATTCAACCTGTAGCTGCGTGGGTTTCCTCCAGGTACTCCCGTTTCTTTCCACATTCCATAAACATGCATGGCAGGTTAACTGAACACAAAATTTTAACCATGTTTGTGTGTGTGCACGAATGGATATTTGTTCTGGTGCACCCTGCGATTGACTGGCAACCAGTTCTGGGTATTCACCGCCTACAGCCCGTAGACAGCTGCGATAGGCTCCAGCATGCCTGTGACCCTTGTGAGGATAAGCGGCTCAGATAATGGATGAATAGATGTAAAGACTAAGTTTAAGTACAAAAGTAAAAAAAAAAAAAAAAAAAAAAGAATGTTTGTCTTTTGGCCAATACTCGTTTTGACAACATGGCACAGGGGAAAATTTTACGTAGTTTACCTCTTATGTGCTCGTACTGGGAAGAAGAAGTGTTTGTCTGCATGTGTTTTTGTGTTTGTATAATATATATATATATAAATAAAAAGACACATATCTTGATATACGAAGGAGTGGGAAGCACAGGAAAATGCCGGGAGTAAAAGTAGAAAGTAAAGACTTCGGTCAAGTCGATCTGAAAAATCAACTTCAGTACAATAATTACTACTGTCCCTCATCAAAGCATTAATCTTGACATACACTGAATGGGACACAAGATGTCATACCCATTGTACACTTCATTTTACCCCCCCCCCCCCCCCCACCTTCACTCGCTT